AACGACTTTCAAAAGATTAGAAACGGAAATGTGTTCCTTTTCTTATATATATAAAAAGAAGGAACGCATTTCTTTAATTTATGTATATACAGGTGATTATAATAAAGTTTAGTTTCAAAACGCTATAAAAAAAGAACCACTGATGAATGATGTGTGAAATTTAAGGAAATGTTATTGAAAAGGCGGAAAGCGTATGGCAGAAGAAAAATTTAGTTTCAAAAGTTAGCAACAGATGGCGCTGTAAGCGGCAGAATCACGAAGAGAAACGAGAAATGATTCGTAAAACAATGGCTAAGGTGGAAGTTACACATTAAAACGCATTGACAAATTATAATTGTTGAATAATTTTATTTGCATGACTGTACATATCACATCGAAAGGGACAAATCGGTTTCAAGAGTTTTGCGGCGAATACCGCATAAGAACCATTCATCAAAGAAGTTCGGAACTGTCGCAAAACATGTTCAATATGGTGTCCACCGTTGTATGCAACAAGTTGAAAGTGACAAACAGCATGTTCACCAACGGATCGCAGTGTCTCCGGGGTGATGTTCAGAATGTGTTGCGAAATGCGTGCCTTTAATTCCGCTAAATTTGCAATTGGAGCACGGAACACAACATCCTTCAGATACTCCCACAGCCAGAAATCAACGGAGTAAGATCAGGCGATCGGGACGGCCAGGATGTAGGGAAATGACGGCTGATAATTCGAGCATTTCCGAAATGACCCTCAGCAGCTGTTTCACGGGATGTGCAATGTGCGGAGGAGCGCCATCTTGCATAAAAATGATTTCATCCACAATCCATGCTGTTGCAGAACTGGAATCAAGTGGTTCACAAAAGAGACGCACCTCTGACCAGTGACGGTTGCGGGAACAGGACCGGAAGCACTCGTTTGCTCGAAAAATTGGTTGTAGGATGAATGAGCCGTAAAGCCACACCATACCGTTATTTTAGGATGAAGTGGTACGGGGTGCGTTTGCCAGTGGATTTTTCTGTTGCCCATATTCGACAATTCGGGTATTCACGTATCCGTCAGAGGCTGGGCTTCATTCCACGTTTCCACGGCCAGTCACTTCCAGCGAGCCAGGAATTTCTCAAACGTCTCCTAGCTGTCAGTCAGACGGAAGCAACTCCTGCACATGGCCATTTTTGTACAGATAGCATTGCAGGTTTGTACAATTTTCACCTGTTCATAGGCCTGTCCAATGTTCGGACATCCTCGTGCACTGACGGGTGCCCACCACCGGCCGGACCCTCCTGTATTGCTGTGGCCACTTCTCAACTCCGTCGAATGCACTCTTTTCTCCTCTAACCAGATTGCACATCAAACGAACTTGTCGTTTCGAATTTTTGCATCATTTTCTTTAACCTACTACACTCATTGGACCACGCCTTCTTTTATACGTTCAGTGTCCGATTTTTCAGAGCTACTCTTGACAATCATCATTCTGTAATACAGCTTTACCAGCAGAGCGCGGTCTGCAGTGAACCCCATGGCGAAACGTCTGAGACGCGAAATGAGGAACAGCCGGGTACTGGTGGCTTATAACATGAAATTTAACTAACATTTAATTACGTCTTCTTTCGCTTGCAGCGCCATCTGTGAACTTTGAAACTAAATTTTCTTCTGCCATACGCTTTCCGCCTTCGTCAATAACATTCCTTTCAAATTGACGTCATTCATGAGTGGTTCTTTTTATAGCGGTTTGAACTTAAACTTTAATTATAATCACCCTGATAAAAAAGAGAGATTTTTATGTTCGCATAACTCTTCCAGTCTTTCGTTCTCCCAAACGGTTGGAATAGTTAAATGTGATTTTGGAAGTGGAGACTAAAACCTCGTTTCCATTTTTTGGACTTCTGAATACATTTAGATTCAAATATGTGTTTTGCACAATCAAGATTTTGGTCATTCCGGTTGAAAGGGGCGTCTGAGAAGTAATAAAGGGAGTATGTTGCGTAAAATTTAGACATGAAATAAGTTAAAAGCAATAAAATAAACTATTAAATTAACAATTAATCTAAGGAAGGCTATTCGAAACGTCGGGGTGCGATTAGCCACTGCGTATTCGAATACCGTACCTTTAACGCAAAAGAGCTCTCATGCCGTACCTTTAACTGTAATGCTCTCATGCTGTAGCTCTCATGCTGTACATTTAACTGTAGCTTTAACTGTAGCTCTCATGCTGTACCTTTAACTGATTGGGTAATTCAAACTGCTTTGCATTTTTGCTATCATTTCATTTGCTAGATATTGTTCGGAGAACAGCCTTGATTGCTATCGGAAATCTCTACACTAAAATTTTTTATGACTTAAAAATATGCAGGAATCGTGACCATATGTTATTTGTAGTACAGTCAAAAGTCGTTAATCCGGACTCGTCGGGGCTTTGGCGATTCCGGATTATCGATTTTTCCGGATTATAGATCATCAGTTTAAATCTGGTAAGATGGCATGCAGAAATTATAAAATTAAAAATATGAAACCGTAATTTATGAAATAAAGAACAATTATGATCTAAAGGGTATCAAAATTTACAAAAAAAAAGCTTAATATTTATTTGTTTACTTTATTAAACATTTCTTTCAATGTAAGTTGTTTAAGTTGCTTCGTTTTTTATGTGATAATACTTTCTCTTTAATTCTATAAACAGACATAATTTCTTGTTCAGTTACAAAGTTCCGCTGTTCAAGTCCTATAATTGCTGTGTCGAGAATACCGACTAATTTGTCAATCGAAATTTTTTCGTTTTCAATAACCTCTGTGTCACTTTCTTCACTATCGGAAGCGAATTATAATGACGAGGAATTTGATTTAAATCATATCAAAGACGGAGTACATCGAGATGAAATACTACATTTAGTAAGGAATTATAAAGCCAAATAAAATAAAAACATCTGCCCTGAAGATAAGGATAGTGCTGACAGATCAACTTCCAATTCATTGTGCGCCCGGCGTTCCCCCCCCCCCGCCGCAGAGCAGCGTGAAATTGATAAACAGATTTCGGAATGGTTAGATAAACAAAGGATATGCCTTTATCCATTTTTTGCAGCAATTCCACTTTTTGTTTAATGGACTTCGAAACATACTTTCGCTTTGTAGATCCTTTACATATTAGTAAATATATATCGGAAATTCTATTTGACATAATCGAAAGTTCAAGCTTACTTTTATAAAATTGCTCTAACAGTCTGCAAAAAATAATAAGCCGGATCCAATTCGAAGATTAAGGAACAACGCAATCTGCAACATTAACTGAATTAGATAATTTTAGCTTAGCTTATACCGTCCGTTATACATTAAACGCGCATGCGTAAACGTATTATGCGCATGCGCACATGCATATTCGCAGCCGTAAAAGTCTTACGCGCATGCGTCAACGCGACGCATGCGCAGAAAGTTTGTAGCTTTGAGGTCCGGATTATAGATCATTCCGGATTATGGGTGTCCGAATTAACGACTTTTGACTGTATAACGTTTACAAAATTTTGAATACCCTTAGACGCGGTTTTTTTAAAACACAGCACACCAAATATGAAATATCCATTGCAAATTTAATTCTGAACGAAGAAGTGCTTTGAAAAATGATTTTCGTTTTAGGGCATGAGAGTGTATGTTGTGTATAATACGCCAAAAATTCAAAAACTCCTCGTAAAATTATTTTTGATTCATTTTTAAAGAAAATATTTATTTCCTGGAGCATGTCGAAAATGAGACTTCATACTTCAAGATAGAAATGACTGACTGTACTCTCTAAAAGACAAAATTTCAGAATAACGGTCGTTATTTAAACGTGGAAGCCCAAATTCTTAGAAAGTTACCAAGATCAATTACTTGATCGAAGAAGTAATTCCGAAAAATACATTCTTATTGGCTGGGAAATTTGTGGAAAATTGTTTTGCCATAACATATCTATTGCATAGCTTTGATTAAAAAAAAGAGTTGACAGAGAAAGTGAATCTTGTAGATGGAACTAATCAATATCCGAAACGACTGCGATATGATAAGCTCTTTCATAGAGTCTGAACATTTGGAAGCTTTTCATTTGAAGAGCGTAGACATCTTAAGACATCTATTAAAAAAAAAATTATGAACGGTGCCTCATGAATGTAGCTTACGCAAGACCCCAAAAATCTGCCTCCGATATTATGAGTCAGGTTGTCTTGCATTTCCTTCGCCTCAGGTTTCTTCCTTAGAGAAAGCTATTTGGACTTCTCAGTGTCTCCTATGCTACACTTTCACATGTTGTTATATTCAAAATAGTTTCATAGAAATTCTCATCTATCTAAAGTAGCTAAACTTATTTAATTCTCTTGAATTAGCTAACATTTTTTATAGAATTCAAATATTGTTCTAATTATTATTTCAATTTTTTCGGACACTAGCGTTTTTACAAAATTGTATTTTGTAATTGCTTTCTTTTCCCCAAATTAAAGAAAAATATATTTGTAAAATTTAGAACTGATCTCACTTGCAACGACAACGGCTTTTTCATGCAATATTCTTTAAATATTGCTCAATAATAAAGATATTTTACTTGAGAAAAAATAAGAAAGAAGCTTAAAAACCATCTTGGAAGCCAAACATATGTGCTTAGATTTCTGTGTTACGATTATAAATAAGGAACAATAATTTGTTACCTATTATGTAATCAAGCATAATTACAGCTTTTATTCAAAAGGGAATGTAATTCAAAATGTAAAAAAAAAAGAGGGGTGTTGGTCCTTTTAAAGGGTTATGATGTATGATCAGACTTTCCTAAATATAATAGGAAGATCTGAAATCAGGATGTCAAACATATAGGAAATTAAACGCTGCATTTTAACTTTATATGTGCATATTTTTAAAATTTTTTATTTTAAAAAAAGGGGGTTTCGCAAAAATTTATGTTTCAGTATCTTTGGAATTTCAGGAATTCGAACTTCTCTCTGAGTTATTCCTCTGCCAAAAAATGGCATCAGCGAGGAATTTGATAAAATGCTTGCCAGACAGAGTGTGAGAGAGGGAGTGAAACCGCATTTTTGTTCATTTGCATTAAGATAATACGATAATACGTAAAAAAGAATATATATTAATTATTTCTCTCTGCATAAACCTGCAAACTCGCTCGGTAAAACATGCCTTTCTTAAGTGATGACTGAATAGTTTTACTGTTTATTTAGTTTTTCAGTGACTGACCCTATGTCAACAATGCAATTACCGATAATAATCCGGATGTCAAGTTTTTTTATGTGTGGTTTTTCTGTTATGTGTGTTTAACACTATGGCGTGTTGTCCCGTCCGTTGCATTCTTTTAACAACATGCGCTGTGCAACTAGTAAGTACTTTCAGTTTTTATGTATGAACTTCAAATTCGTAAGGAATATGTATTTTATAAATATTATTTGTTTTTGACTTTCGAAATTTACTAAAATTTCTAATCGCATAAAACATGTCAAAGAATAGCGTAACATTTTTGGTATAATTCATAATAAATGTGTACTCGTATTTACATTCATAATTGATATTTACTACGGACCTCTGAAATTTTATTTTAGAAATTCTTAATCATTCTCAGTTTTATACTCAAGCGTACTTAAATTATTATTATTACTTCAAAATGAACAATAATAATTATAATAAAATGAATAAATTATAAAAGTATAAGAGGAAATGCAACTTTGAGGAATAGTATAAAACTGCAACGAAAAATAAAAGAAAAAAATTATAAACATGGAAAAAATTGGTGAAGTGTAGAAAATTGAAAAAAGATCATCAGATCTTATTATAAAGTGATATTTAATGGCTTGTTGGATAACTACAAGAGCATTGTGCGTAAATATGTGGGGAAAGATTTTGAACTGTGCAATCAATGCAGAGGGAAGAGAACTCTGCATTACAAAGTTACTTTCATAATTTTATGTGAAATGCTTAAAGACTGCTTCTCAAAAGTATTACTTTCTTTAACGTAGGAAAGTAAAAGTTAAGCAGCTTAAAGGTGTTATTTCCCAGTAATCAGTCATGGTTTCCTTCAATTTAAATCTCTGTGTATGTGTGTGTGTGTAAAGGGTATTTAAATGTCCTGTGTGTATGAGAAGCATTTAAATGTCTTGAAACCAGATTTCAAGAATTTTATTTCACACATTGAAATTGAAGAGTTTATTTCTCTAACTGAAGTGTCTTTGAGTCGCACTTTTTTTGTTCTCCAAAATAATTACTATTACCAAATTGAAGGATTAGCTATGGGTAGTCTCCGAATTCTGGTACTTGCTGACGTTTACATGCACTATTTTGTGTCTAATTATTTGAAAAACTGCATTTTTATAGCTTTGGCTTTTTAATGTTGATAATACATTCATGCTTTTTGCCAGCAGTAAAGAAGATTTAACTAAGACTTTATGTGTTATGAAATTAATTGTCTAGCCATCCAGTTCACTTTTGAAATTTAGTGTGATAATTCTGTTCATTTTCTTGATATTCTAAATATTTGCAATGAATTTGATTTTAGCACTGTTTGCTTTCCTTCCCATGCTAAATCACGTTACTCTGCTAAACAAAAAATGGCTTGGTTGATCTTTGGATTATGGTAAGTTGGTGATTTTTTGGCGAAAATTTGGCGACCAACTCTGCTACAGCAACCCCCTATTTTTTTTTCGCCGCCATTTTGTCTTCACGAAGTAAAGACATTTTCTTTTCTTTTTATTTACTCAAACATTTTTTTCCAACAATCTGCCAGCCGAATTACACTTATGCTAGAAATTTTATGGAACAAAACTGCTTAATCATGACAACTATTAACTGCAAGATTGGGAAAAAGTTCAGAATCGCAAACTTCCTTGCCACGTTTTTCAAAATCGCACATACACAGTAACCATGTACACGTCGACTTATTTTTACTTAAAAAAACATCCCAGAATTGCACAAAAATGGCATTGCGTACACTCATGACTTTATCCATCTACACTGCTATTTTCTCATAAATTACAAAAAATTTCCACGAAAATGCAGGAAAATTTTGTGAATCTTTAAATTTGTTAAAAAGCACATATATGAAATTACCTGATCGCGAAAAAGTATACAGTCAAAAGTCGTTAATCCAGACTTGTCGGGAATTCGGCGATTCCGGATTATCGATCATCAGTTTTAAATCTTGTAAGATGGCATGCAGAAATTCTAAAATTAAAAATATGAAACCTTAATTTATGAAATAAAGAACAATTATAATCTAAAGGGTATCAAAAATTTACAAAAAGAAAAAAAAATCTTAATATTTATTTGTTTACTTTATTAAACATTTCGTTCAATGTAAGTTGTTTTAAGTTGCTTCGTTTTATGTGATAATACTTTCTCTTTAATTCTATAAACAGACACAATTTCTTGTTCAGTTACAAAGTTCCACTGTTCCAGTCCCGTTAATTTTGTGCCGAGAATACCGACTAACTTGTTGATCGAAATTTTTTCGTTTTCACTAACCTCTCTGTCACATTCTTCATGTCTTTATCCATTTTTTGCAGCAATCCCACTTTTTGTTTGATGGACATTGAAACATACTTTCGTTTTGTACGATCCTTTGGGAGCTCCAGAATCAGAAATTCTATTTGACATAATCGAAAGTTCAAGTTTACTTTTATAAAATTGCTCTTACAGTGTGCAAAAAATAATAATCCGGATCCAATTTGAAGATTAAGGAACAACGCAATCATCAACATTAATTAAAATAGATAATTAGATAAATGCCGTCCGTTATGCATAAAACGTGCATGCGAAAACGTATTCTGCGCTTGCGCACACGCATATGCGCAGTGGTAAAAGGTCTTACGCGCATGCGTAAACGCCTGTGTGCATGTGTGAACACGGCGCATGTGCAGAAAGTTTTTAGCTTTGAGGTCCGGATTATAGATCATTCTGGATTATGGGTGTCCGAATTAGCAACTTTTGACTGTATATCCTATCCAAGGATGAACATTTCTACGTATAACATAAATAAAATATCCAAAAACTTTTACCTCTCAATTATCTATTATAAACGTCACCAACGAATTCATAACAAAACATTAAGAATGGTTACAAATACTTAGTGTCAAATATTTAAATTATTTCCATGCACGTTTACTTCCACTCAAACGTATACCAAATTGCTACAAACATATAATTCACAAAATAACTATCATTTATTAAAAATATAATTAAACCATGTACACGTCGACTTATTTTTACTTAGAAAAACATCCCAGAATTGCACAAAAATGGCATTGCGCACACACTTCACTATATCCATGTACACTGCTTTTTTTCTCATAAATAAAAAAAATTTCTCCAAAATGCATGAAAATTTTGTGAATCTTTAAATTCGGTAAAAAGGACATATATGAAATTACCTGATTGCGAAAAAGTATATACCCTTTCCAAGGATGGACATTTGCACGTATAAAATAAAAAATATCCAAAAAACTTTTACCTCTAAATTATCTATTATAATGTCATCAACGAATTTATAACAAAACATTAAAATGATTACAAATACTTAGTGTTAAATACTTAAATTCTTTCCATGTACATTTACTTCTACTCAAACGTATTCCAAAATACTTCAAACATATAACTCTCAAAATCACGATCATTAAATTAAAATATAATTAAATTAAAAAACACTACTTAAAATATAAATAAGCACATATATTAAATTAATAAAAATTAGCTTACAATCCTGATTACTTTAAACTAAATCATTGCTAATAACAATTTTCCAATAATACCATATTAATTTATTTACTTCTTACATTTAGAACAATGCATAAAAATAATATCCTCAAATAATTAAAAATACTAACTTACCTAATCTTCTACAGAATCTTGAGTGCATGTCGGATCGCAAAATGTCCATTTTCACCAGGTTTCTTGCACCGCCATTCAAACTATCTGTAATATCCTTCCTTTCACACAATCTCATTTCATTCCCACATATTGGACATTCGTACTTATCCGCAATTAAGCAATTCTTTTCAATTACACATAAAAGTAATAAAATTCGGGTTTACTTTATATACGGCCATGGGATCCAAATATTAAGGAACACTCTTTCACACAACACACAATGAACCTAAATAGAAAATGCTATAAAGAACTGCAGATATTTTTTACAAATTTTCCCCCTTTTCCGATTAAACAACTGATTCGTTCCATAAATGTCACATGATATATCTCATGATCTCTCATTTCCTCTCACCCAAAATAATGCGTAATTCGGAATTGGATACTTCTCACATTATTCCCAAAGTCCTAGGTAGTAACCTTTCTCGCCTCCAAAATGTTGCCAAACTACCTGTTACCATATTCCAAAGATCAGCCAATGGCTTCCCTTTATGTATATTTTGCTATCAAAATTTGGTCTTCAGGATCTTTGTCATAAATCCAGTTATTTAAAATTAGGTACTGTTGACAGGAAATCTTCCCATGGTTATTGATAAAGCCTTTAAAATTTTGGTACTTTTCCGTTTTGCTGGCACAGACAATAAAGTCGCCAATAATGGTACAACTGATGCCAAACGGAAAATCCTCACTGGTAACCTTTTACGCCTAATTTTCAAAACAAGTCACAGCCATTTCTTATCAGTTTGATTTTTTTTCTTCCAATACTGGCATACAATTACATAGAATTTTTACCAGATAGTTCAGGGTAAAAGTTTACAATTGGGTGCCCCTTGTTTATTGGCGATTCTTTTTTGACGCCATGATCGGTGCCAGGAAGTCACAATTTCAAGATGGCCGCTACAGAAAATCAAAATAAGAAGTAGAAGAATTGCACAAGATCTGTGTCCATGTACACATCGATCTGTTTTTACTTAAAAAAACATCCTAGAATTGCACAAACTAGGCATTGCGCACTGCCTTAAATATGTCCATGTACACATCAATCTATTTTCATTTAAATAAAATCGGGAAGCTAAAACAAAGTTAAAACTATCGTGGTAACCAGAAGTGAGGTTTCATCGCCAAAATTTTTAAAAAAATGTCGCCAATCGAAGGGGTACCCAATTCTACACTAAAGCCTAATTCAGTTTTATGCCCTAAGGCCATTCGCGGTAATTAAGTCAATTAGGATGCAATCACCTGCTCACATGGAGGCGAAAATATAGAAAAGGCAAAGTCAAGGGTTAAATTCGTCAATTCGAATAAGAATGCACTAGCGTAGTAAAGCACTGCAGTTTTACATAATTTTTGAGTAAGCAATTCATACGAATTGAAATAATTCTTGCATTTAAACTTGTATTCCAAATTAAGATTTAATTTGAAATTAATATAGATAATTACTGAGAGAATTAGATGAGATCACTTGGGGTCGCGTTATATGAACTAGCAAATCAGGATGTTGAACCACAAAAGAATACTAAATTCTTAAATTAATGTCTTTATAACAAATTTGTCTTTAATTATTAGCTTTTTACAAAAATTAAACGATATTACAATGTTTATGTCTTCAAAATAAAAAATTCTTAAGAACTAACATTTTTTACGTCAATACTGTATGTTGTCGCCATTAGGTCTGCTTGGCGAGATTTGCGCCAGCGAAACGGAAAAGTAGCAAAAAATTGTTCATCTTACCATCAAAAAGAACTTTCAGAACTACCTTTATACATGCTCTTGGTTGGGGACAAATTTTTCGTCAAGCATTTTTGGCGAGAAACTCCACAGTGCATATGCCCTGGAAGGGGATGTAAAAATATGTTTGAGGATACCCCTTCACGATTTTTGGTGACAGGCCAGCAAGGCACAATTTCAAGATGGCTGCTAAATAAAACCGAAATAACAAGTCAAAGAATTGCACAAACTCGGTATCCATTTACACATCCATATATTTTTCACATATAAAACATCAGGGAATTGCACAAACTTGGCATTGTGTATTCCCTTGACTTGTCCATAAATCTATTTTCACTTTAAAAAAATCATGAGAATGCTGATGTCATATAATGTTAAAACAACGTTACTCATCACCAAAACTGAACAAAATTTGTAGCCAATCAAAGCTCAATAAACTGCATTTCAAATCACACAATGAAATAATGTAAAAAAGGAAATATGTGTTATTGCATATACACACTGCATATACACAAGTCAACTTGTGACCATGCTTTCAATTAAGTGGTCAACCACCGCAGAATTAAGCAATTGCCATTCTTCTTGTAGAGCAGTTTCCAGCTCAATAAGAGTGGCTGGAGGTGGGAAATGTGAAGATACAGCATAGCCGAAAGCATACCAAAGATTTTCAATGGGATTAATGTCAGGTGAATATGCTGGCCACGCCATACGCACAATCCAAAAACATCACACATTCCGAGGCGGAAGCATTATGTTGTGGGCAGAGATTTCATTAGGATACTGCACATCTTTAAACAGGGTTCTTTGACAGCTGTCCAGTATCGAGATGAAGTCCTAGAACCCATTCTGAGATTGTATGCTGCAGCAGTTGGCCCTTCACTCTCCAGTAGTCATCGACGATGTTAGCTCTATGGGAACGTGCATTATCGTCCATTAACACAAACGTAGGGCCAACTGCTGCAGCATACAATCTCAGAATGGGTTCTATGACTTCATCTCGATACTGGAGAGCTGTCAAAGAACCCCGTTTAAAGATATGCGGTGCGGTATCCTAATGAAATCCCTGCCCACACCATAATGCTTCCGCCTCGGAATACGTGATGTTCGGTGATGTTTTTGGGACTGATTTCGTGTTCGTTGTTCATGCCATATCCTTATACCCTTGTCATCTGGCTCCAGAACAAATCTTGACTCGTCAGTAAACCTGACATTGCCCCAGTCAGACACATTCCAATTGACATGTTCCCATTCCAATTGACGTTGCCCCTCTTGATTGGACAGATAGTGGAACACAAACTCGAGGTACCCGGGTGTTCAGTCCACTCATATGTAATCTTCGGCGTACAGTAGTTGTAGATATCGCCTTACGAATGGGCACTGTAACCATAGATGTCACACATGTGGAGGTCACTCTGCAATTCAGCTTGTCTACAATAGCAATATATTGATCTTCTGCGGTTGTTGTAACCCTCGGGCGACCGGCTATGGGCCTTCGGAAGACTGGCCCACCAGCAGCTGAGCGGTAAAGTCGCTGAACACTGGTAGTTCGGTCCGAGGTTCGAATCCCGTGAACGGGCTGGGCTGCATGGGTGTTTTCATGATTTTCCCCATGTGTAACGTGTATATGAGCCAGTTTCCCTTAGAAAGTCCTCCACGAAGGCATCTCTCTCCTTAGGCAGATAGCCCTAGTGTGCTTTGCCATAATTAAATACACCACACCACCTTTGGACAACTGTGTGTGTGGTTTGGCATTGTTCCCATAAACGGGAAATTACAGAATGATGAACGCCGAAGAAAAGAGCAACATCTGTGATCGACTGTCCTGCTTCAATGTGCCCCACAGCATGCCCAGTGCTCAGAATCTTCCATTTGTCTTCTGGAAATCATAGAAATGCGTATGTCTTGAAAACAAATTGTACAATCAACTTCTGTAACCGTTTATAAAGCTGGCTTCTTATAAGACTGCTTTTTTTGCATATTTCTTGACATGAAAGCACGATTGGCTGTTACCTAACATATTTGCATACTTCTATCTACCTCTGCAGCGAATTGCATCCTCTTTAAATGTGATTGGCTTCCGGAAATTAGCATTTTCCTCTCCGTGCTTAACGTTTGGGGAAAGTGGGTGTATATATGTATATGGGTGAAAGTGCAGAATCACTCACTGCTTGGCGTGTTTTTCAGAATTGCACATATTCGGTATCCATGTACACATGGACCTATTTTCACTTAAAAAAAATCCCAGAATTGCACAAAAATGGCATTGTGTACTCCCTTGACTTTATCCATGTACACATCGACCTATTTTCACTTAAAAAGGTCCAAGAAAATTGAAAAAAATCCAATTCTTCTTATTCTTGTAAAAAGCGCCAAACAAATAATTGGGCGATTCTGCACTTTAGCCTGTTTATGTATACCCACATTGTTACTCTGCTCAGTGAGTACTTTTTTGGTAAAAGTACAGTTTAGGGTACCCCTTGGCGAAATTTGGCGGTACATGGATACCGATTTTGTGCAGTGCTTTGACTCCTTATTTTGGCTTTTGAAGCGGCGATTTTTGGCGTAAAAATCGCCGCTACACAAAGCTAAAATAACAAGACAAACAATTGCACAAACTCGGTATCCATATGTACACATTGACTTATTTTCACTTGAAAAAAAAAACCTCGAATTGCCCAAAAATGGCATTGCGCACTCCTTTGACTTTATCCATGTACACGTCGACCTATTTGCACTTAAAAAAAAATCCCTGAATTGCAAAAACATGCACTGCACACTCCCTTTACTTTGTCCATGAACAGATCGATATATTTTCACATAAAAAATCAAAGGAGCACCAAAGTCTACAATATAGGCAAACAAAAAATACATAATCTCAATAAAATGCATTTTAAACCAAACAATAAAATAACATAAAAAAGGAAAAACATGTTATACATTTAAGCACTACCAAAAGCAAATATTTACTTACCATGATTTTCGAGTTCGCTTCGTACACCCAGAGCCACGTAAAAATCAAAATATCAATCATAATCAAATTACTTTTTTCAAACCAGGTACTCTTTCTGATCGATTGCTTCACATAGTGACCATCTGAACCTTTCTTCCTACAAACGCATTCAAATCCATCTAAACGGTTTTAACACACACCACAAAAACGCTTATAAAACATCCCATGATTCAAAATTTTCCAAAATCATGCACCCGATTACGTCACAATAGGGTTTCCATAACATTCAACTACTCAGGCTACCATAAGTGAAACAACTTGGCAATAAATCAAACAACAACTTCGCCATAATACAAGGGGTACTTTAAAGTCTACGCTTCCCAAAATTTTTATATGTTGTTAAATTGTATATTTTTTGCTTCAAAAATGATTGAATTGTGTTGTTCTTATCATCCGGTTAAGGTTTTTATGCCTTTAGTTAATCTGCATGCAATAGTTGTAAAATCAACAGTTTAAAAGTTGTAAGTATGGTTGAGCCTATTTTTTTAAACCATAACAGCTATATTTGTTTATATTTGAAACTTGGCAGAATAATGAATTAAGTCTTTATGCACATTCAGTGTCTTTTTGCCGAATGGGACTAAAAGGAAACTTTTAGTTTTGTGCACCAAAAAATCTGCTTTCTTGCCTGCTGGCCCAATCGCTTGTTTTTGCGTAGAAACTGTAATTTTAATTGTAGATTTTTTTTAAAAAATTGTTTTAACTGTATTTGACATTTTTATATTTTTCTGTATTCTTATTCTTCAATTTTCCCAGTAAAAATATTTTGAAATTTTATGTATTTTTGCCTTTTCTCGAAGTGAGAACCGAATTAATTGAATGAGAACTATATCTCTAATGAAATTCAAAGAAATAAGTTTAAATTAAAAGCAGGAAAAAATGTGTATAATTTAACATTCCATACAAGGAAGTCGTGTGGTCTACACATCAGATTGTTTAAACAATGTCTTCAAAACGTTTTTAGACATACACCAGATGATGTATAATGTTCTTAGATTTATAAAACTCCATTTTGTAGTGCAGATTTAAAATTTACTATATTTTCTTTAAAAATTTTTTTATATTTATTTTCTCAAATGTTGTTAGTGTATATCATATCCTTATTCTATACTGGTCTTGATTTAATCATTGCTTTCATAAGTGTGTCAAAATTAACCATTATTTACTTAACTACTAGGATATGAAATTTATTTCATAAGCTATTATGTTCTGTTTCAAAATTTAATTAACAATTTTATTTCATAAATATATTTTAATATTTTCTTTTCATTTTGTTTATTGTTATTAATTGATGCACTTTCCTTCATAGGCGGCGACTGTTCAACGACAGATCTTGGATTTTCTGGGGTACATGTGGACTCCTATTATAGTCAATTTTATTCAGATAATCATTGTCATTCTAGGGATTTTTGGAGCATATCAATATAAAATAAGATACATATCTTGTGTAAGTATAAGAAATTGCATATTTGCTGAAAGCTTCATTATATACAAGTATTTATTATCAGTATCTTAACATGAAAGTTACTAAATAATTATAATAAAATATATATTAACAGTTTAAAAGGAAAATTTGACATCTGCATTTCAGCTGATATTTAGTATTTGCATTATTGGTAATAACTTGCTTTAAATATTGTCTAATGTAATCATGAATAACCACATAAGCACCTATAATAAATTTTATAATTACTGCAAATGTGATCCAGGTTCTTTCAAATCAGTTTACGTTTTTTTTAAAAAAAATGGTAAGTATTCTTATAATAATTTTAATTATAATTAATAATTATAATTTTAGGTACTTATATATTAATGCAACTACCTTGATGCAATTTTTTACATATGAAAAGATACAAATTGCTGACGGGGGTGATTTTTCTCTTCATTTTTTAATAAGATTGGCAAATTCTCGATACTTATCGTAAATTGGCAAACGTTAGCAACATATAAAAAAAAGCACTTTGGCCATTTAAAATACAGATTTAAATTATTAAATAAGGTTTATTACATGATGCATTAAAAAAGTAAAGTGCTTACGTTTTTTACAGAATCCTTCTGTATATATTTTTTTCCTGTTCTCTCTATAATACAGAGCTATCTGTTATTGCTTTAAGAAACAAGGAATGCCACATCCTTGAAATTGTGCTCTTCTAGCTTTCTACCAATGAATTTCATCAATCATTGTTTTTGTTCAGAAATCTCATGGAAAAATACAAGGTAACCAAAAACGTTTTTGCTATTTCTGATATGACGTTGGAAGAGTGAACCCCAACATAAAAATAGTCCCAAACCTGGTGGTGAAGTAGTTAGGATGGGAGTGAGGTCATCGACCAACAGTATAAAAGCGCGTTGCATTGGTCATTAGTGAGAAAAGGAAAAGGAGTCTTCAAACATAACTCACACAGCGAGTGATTGAAATGGATGTGTCAAAGGTGCTCGTTCGGAGTTGTTTGCTATATGATTTGGTACTTACATATTAATGCCACTGCAGCTGCAGATTTGACAGTTTTTAAGTGCCGCCAATCTACACCTAAAATTTTTGTGACAAATCATAAATTAAAACACTGTAATTAAAATCAAAACACTTTATTTAAAATCAAAGTAAATTTGGTGGGAAATCGGCCGATCTAGACTTTAACATAGATTCAAAACAGTTTCTATATTCTTTGACCCGATGCTGTTGCCATATGAACTCTGCTAAATAAGATTCTAAATGATGTCTGCTGTTCCTATTCTCTTGTTCCTCCATTTAGCACTGCCCCACATCTCTCAACTTTTGTGTATGAACCTGTATCAGATCAATAAATGAATATTTATGTTTAACTTTAGCATGTAGAATCCTTTTTCATTCTATTGTTTGATCACTTTCCACTGTCAGAATAAATTGTGCTACCATCTGCAATGTTTTCAATAATTTTTAAGAGGGTATAGCGTTCTCTTGGACAGTGACATCTCTAATATACCACCAACCCTACTGTTCAGGGATACTTGACCACAATTATTTTTCACTTAGTCACAAGCTTTATCAATTTCCACATGCAGTCTGTCACCTACCTTCTTGTTTGTTTTATTCTCCTATCAAGACACATAATTCATTGTCTGCAGTATTGTTTCATTTTAACATTTTTTATCCGATAAATCCGTTGCTTTTCACAAATTTAATCACGTCAATCCTGAATGATCATATATGATCTCAAAGCTACAAATGGAATTCTACTTTTTCAAACCATTGTCTTTCCAGGTTCACTTGCTGATCACACTGTCTAAATTACATTTCACGTACGTTTTAAATAAATTCATATCAGCCAATTGGACCTTTCAGTTTTTTTTTTTTTTTTTTTTTTTTTTTTTTTTTTTTTTTTTTATATTTTCGCTCGAAAAATAAATTGCATCTTCTTCTGTGTTTAGCAAATCCAAAGACCGTTTTCGTACACGAAAAAATGGCATAAAAAATCAGCAACACCAAGGCTAAAGGTACTTATGCAAAATCAAGTTTAAAGTTTAAAAAATTAGCATATAGCAATAAAGCTCCCTAAGATTATTATTTGCGACATAAAGACAAAAATTTTTAACTTAACCAATTTATAACAATATTATATCTAAATAAAATCATTACTAATTTAATCAACACCAAACTTAAATAGTGTAACATTATCAAATTACATTTAGTTGACTATTCTTAACCCAAGGTTTTCCTTTAAAGAATATTACACTATAATATACCGCAAATATTATCTGATCTTTGATACGGCATCAATCACAAAAAAACAATCCAGAACAAAAACTATGAGTTCTATGATTTCACTTCACTATAATTAGATCCATGCTTTTTGGCCAAGAAGGCACCTGAAAAATTAAACTAAACCTTGAGTGCACTTGAACTTGCAAAAGCCACTCACTGTAGTTGCTGAGAGAGATCACAGCTTGGAATTTATCGCTGCCGAACCATAGAACAGATTGCCGCCCACCGCAGTTGCTTACCGGAAATCACAGCTTGGAATTTGACGTCCCTTAACTTTGGAAACAGGATGCCACCCACAGCAGTTGACCATCAGGAACCACAACTTGAGATCTATCGCCGCCGAACCATAGAAACAGGATGCCGCCCACGGCAATAGCTCACATTGTAGCCACTTTGCAGAATCCAGGAAAAGTCATCATGGACTGGAACCATGGTATTTATCGCTGGATGACATGCATCGCAATAAGATCTTCCAATGAGCACTGGAACAGCACACCAAGGAGCAATGAAACAGGAAGCAGAAGGACTAAGCCAAAGCGATGTGAGATACTTAAACTTGAAGTAGACATGACGTCATCTCACGGCAGCCAATCAGCTGTCGGCACGACTCAACTTTCCAGATGACATAACATCAAGTTTCGTTTTTGCATCTTGATTAGGCTGGAAAAGTCCATTCTTAATACAAACAGTGGCAGTGAAAAATGAAGTAATTGCTATATCCCTTTAAAATAAGAACTAAACCTTATTTTAAAGTTATAATTATTTCAAGGATGAGAGATGATGCAGAAAAAGGGTTATGATAGGTCATATTTTCAACAGAATCCAAAAGATAAATGCATGCAAACAACAGGATTGCTCTTTATTATTGCACTAGTGCAACTTATGCTGCGGCGGCGTTAATACGTGAGTATCTATGATTTTAAAATGGGCCTGTCAATAGCAGAATCAAGTCACCGAATTTGGCAGGCTTTTGGATATGATGCCGTTAACGAACGAACTATTAGGCAATGGTTCCAAAAGTTCAGGTCAGGGCATATGTCTCTTAGTGATGAACCACGCAGCACTGCTGGACGATGAGGCCCTGAGAGCTGCCATAGAGAGTGACAGTAGCCAAACACGTGGTGAGCTTGTTGCACACTTCCGCGTATCTAATGAAACGATCAGACTCCATTTGCACCACATAGGAAAGGCATACAAGCTAAGCAAATGGGTACCCCACTCACTCTCTGATACAAAGAAGCAACAGTGTTTCACTGCCTGTTTGTCATTGCTTACTCAGCACCACAATGCATCCATATTTAATCAAGCACTCACCCAGACATTAGTTGTTACCACGGGACCCTGTGCCTCACACTGTAAAACTTTTTCTCCACCCTGCTGTGTATTTGGTAAACTAGTCGGCAAATGGTGCACTATGAGCTCCTGCCAGTGGGTTAAACCATCATGGCAGGCCTGTACTCTTAGTAGTTGGAACGTGTGCATCAGGCACTGATGCATGAAGAGCCAGTATTACTCAGTCGCAAGGGTGTACTTCTCCTCCATGAAAATGTGAGGCTGCATGTGGCTCAGGGGATCAGGAACACCATCCAGCAACTGGGCTGGGAGACACAACCCCATCCACCATACTTCCCAGACCTTGTGCCAACAGACTACCACCTTTTCCATTCCCTGGACAACTATCTTCGTCGGAAATCCTTAAACAATGGCCAGACCTTGAAAAGGCCCTCACAAACTTCTTTGCGTCCAAGACTCCTGAGTTTTATCACCATGGCATCACACAGCTATCCACTCATTGGCAAAAAGCACTGGAGACCAATGGTGTTACTTTGAGGATTAGCGGTGATTATTATTTGTTTATGACTTTTCCTTTCTGACTATCCAAAACTGCAAGTTTTGCTTACCTTGTACTTACAATCTTATGAAAATTTTACTTTTTTTTTTTTTTTTCTTTCTTTTGCTGGGAATTCCACAATTGCATATTTTAAAATTGAGTTTGGGGTAAAAAATATCACAATTTGTCTATAAAAACTGTTGGAACTTGGAATACGACATAAAGAATACATACAAAAGTAGTGACACTGCTTGACTGAAGGATAGTTATAAGCAGATGTGCCTGAAAAATGGTTATGCACATGTTTGCTTTAGTTTGTCACATTTTTGAAAATTTGGTGGCTTCTGCTAAGATGGTTGCGATAATACATAAGTAATTAATTTTATATTGGTTGCCAGAAGTTATCTTGAGTAAATTCTGTGTTAAAAATAAATTTCAAAATAATTGATAATACAGTCAAAAGTCTTTAATCTGGATTTGTAGGACTTCAGCGATTCCGGATTATTGATTTTTCTGGATTATAGATCATCAGTTTAAATCTGGTAATATGGCATGCAGAAATTATAAAATTAAAAATATGAAACCATAATTTATGAAATAAAGAGCAATTATAATCTATAGGGTATCAAAATTTACAAAAAAAAAAAAGCTTAATATTTATTTGTTTACTTTATTAAACATTTCTTTCAACGCGCGCAAAGCATACATTACGCATAGTCGAAATTAGAAAATTGCAACCAGAAAACTATTTGATTTGTATTTGTGATATTTATAATGACGAGGAATTTGATTTAAATCATATCAAAGGATCGAGATGAAATACTACATTATAAGCCAAAAAAATAAAAACATCTGCCCTGAAGATAAGGATAGT